AAAAAAAAAAAAAAAAAAAAAAAAAAAAAAAAAAAAAAACACTTTTATTTTTTTTAATCAATTTAAAAAAAACGTTCGGCCGAACACGTTCCCCGAACGTGTTCGGGTGTTTGCCAACACTCCAAGCACGTTCGGTGTTGCTACACAGGTGAAAAGTTTGAAAACCAAAAAAGTGATTGCTCACGCCACCACCGAGGAATATGTATAATATACTGTCAAAACGTCAGAATGTCCTGACCAGTGTCGACAGCATTACCTGAGCGAATAAAATACATGACGATCTGCAACTCTCCACGCGTGCCATGGAAATTGCACCTTAATTTGAACAATCCATGCCCCTCGCAGAGAACAGGCCCACCTGGCCTTACAAGATTGAAAAAGAAATGGGCACCAAAAAAACATCCATCTTTCCACCAGCAACTTGATTTCCTGGGGCTGTCCATGTAAGCAATGCCCAGCAGCCCCAAAGTAAACTACATTCGTGCTGATTTTCCTGTCTCTCCAATCCAATGCTTTCAGCAGAGACGTCGCGCAAAAGCTCCAATGTTGAATCGATGAGCCAACAACCGAGATATAAAACATCGATGGTCGGAACAGCGCCTCGACAACCGAAATTTACGACATCAACGTTCGGATCGAAGCCCTAACAAAACATAAACATCAACCATAGGAACAAAGACTCTAAACAACCGAAATGTGTACGACATGAACGGTCAAATCGACGACCTCTGACGACGTAACAAACGAGATCCAAAACATCAACCACGGGATCAAAAAGACTCAACAACCGCGATCCAAGGCATGAGCGGTTCGATCAAACAGCCAACGACCGAGCTCCAAGACCCAAAAACCAAGATCTAAAAAAGCACCAGCCGTCAGCTCGACGACCTGGCAACCCCTGGTACTACACATCAACCGCTTCCGTCCGGTCAAAGACCCCAACCGCTGAGAATCTAAAACATCAGCAGCCAGGATAGTGGACTTGGGAAAGGGCTTTCCCGGGAAAAAAAAAAAAAAACATCAGCAGCCTGCTTATGATGCCACTGACTTCTTGCCACATCCAGCTTGGATTAACTAAGGGCCTCGCCACACCACTCTCGAAATGTGAAAAAGACAAAAATGTGGCAGGTGCATCTGGCCACGTTCTAGGGGGAAGTTCATTCTCATTTTGCACATTTTGAGAGTGGTGTGGCTGTGCCCTAACATGCAGAAACTCTGTGCAAAACTCCATGCTTGCCCTTGTTTGCTTGCGGAAAAAAAATTGATGGGTGTTTCAACCCCTTTACCAGCTGACAGCAGCACAAATCGCATGCAGCCCCTACTTACGATCACACGTTTGCTGCAGCTACTGGTGCTGCTGCTCTTCATTTAAGAATCAGTCATTAATGAATTGAAATTTGAAATCCTTTGAATCTCCATAATTGCCTTTTTCAACAAGGTCTTAAGTTCTCTTAACTCTTCTCCCGGGATTTTGGAAGAATCATCCTAGAGATGGGAACCTACTCTCTGCCCTCCTATGATTACTAATTAGTAATTACTTGGTAATTACTAATTAATCACTCTCCCACTAAGRCAAAGAGATCTTCCCTTCTTATTTTGGGCATACTCACACTTGGAAATTCCTCCTTTTTTTCCCCCTACGCTTGGATACTCCTCTGTATGGAAATAATATTTCAGTTAAAACTAGGAATGTGCAGAATTTGACACAACAACGCCCTCGCTAAAAATTTCAGCTGTTTCTAGCCATCCCTTTGGCCAGACTCTTGATACACTACAACATTAACTAAAGAATACCGTGCATCTTCTGAAAACTGCACACTACAACATCAACAAGGACAGGGCTGGACACAAATCGGGAAACGAATCATTGAAATCAATGCATGGTTCTTCGACAAAGGAAACAAAGGAACAAAAAAACAATGACGAATCCATTTCCGACCTTCTTACCTCTTGCACTTCTCCTCCCTCCTGTACTCTCTCTCTCTCTCTCTCTCTCTCTCTCTCTCTCTCTCTCNTCTCTCTCTCTCTCTCTCTCTCTCTCTCTCTCTCTCTCTCTCTCTCTCTCTCTCTCTCTCTCTCTCTCTCTCTCTCTCTCTCTCTCTTGCGAGCGTGTGTGCCTATCTGTACAATTTACCTCAACTACACAGTCTGTTTCTTACCTTGGCAGAGGGAGAGGTACATGATGAGAAAGGGAGAAACACTCTTCTCATCATGTACTTCTCCTTCCCCCCAGACAAAAACGATATCTTGACTTTCACAATCCCTACGACGTTTTGAAACTCACAAGGCATGATGAGAAAAAACTTCAAAAAGGGAGAAACACTCTTCTCGTCGAGTAGTTCTCCGTTCCTCAACACAGAAATGATGCCATTCCCTTTGCAATGTCGCTACAAATTTTGATCCTCTTCTTCGCTTTGTACATATGAGAGCATCTACAGTCTGCCTTCTTGACTTGCACCTGGATTCTCAAGTTTCCAGCTCAGTATTGACGTCAGGGCCAACGCATGTTTTATTTCCTTCTTTGACTCGTATGTGATCAATACTAATCATTCGCCAACAATCCGGGTCCTCAAGTCTCGGGCTTCTCTTCTTGACTTCGCATTCGTGGATGTACGGTCTTCCATATGATTAATGAGAGCAAACTGCGAGTATATCTGTTGGTTCGCTCTGATGTTATTTGCATTTCTTGAAGCAATCCCATAGCTTCGCTTGCTTTAGTTTCCCTCCTTCATCACTAACCTTGGCAGCTTTCTGTTTACTAGTTCTGGCCGTGCTCGCCGCCGCCGCTTTACCACTGGCCCGACCGCGACCGCATTTCCGCTGTTGTGACGGGTGGTTGCTGCAATTCTTTCTGTTTTCCATCATCACTGTCAGCGCTGACTCTGCTTCTCTCGGTGTTGCGCCACTAACGCTGCGCTGTGGAGTCCCCTCTCGACTTTGTGAGCCGACAAACGAAACGTTCTCACCAAGTTCCACAATGTACCTTTGAGCTGTCTGCTGTACTCGACTTGTGTCAGCATGGACGGCGTCCCGGCACTGGGAAGTCTTTGGGTCCATGCACAAAGTGGGCTGTTTGGGACCGACGCTTCGCATATTCTCCGTTAGGCTTTGAAGGGGTGCTCTGAGTGTTTCCTTATCAGGAGATGGCACCTGGCCATCATAAATAGCAGCAGTCTGGGCGCCTTTGGGTGGAGCGGGTGGAGCAGAACGGCACCCTCTTACGGGTCTGTCCTCGTGTCCCCTCCTCATCGCAATCCGGGCAGACTCCCATCTCTCCTCGTTGGCAAACCCTATGGACACGTCCGGAAAACCAACCGATCCCTCTCGACTAGGGCCTTCTTGCTCAGCTACACTGTGTCCTTCTTGCCCATCCGAACCAACTGGCCATGCTACCTCTGGTTCAGTGCCTGGTAATCCGCACCCCGTGTGATCCTGCCGGTACCGGTTGCAGGCCCCCAGTTCCTCATAAGGCATCCCAATCCCAAGCTCCTCTGGATCAGGAACCCGTTGGCATGGCCCACCGTAACTATCTTGCTGACTCTTTCCTTCTTCTGTTTCTGATCCGGTCTGCCAGGCATGCCGTCCTCGTATGTTACAGTCTTGCTCTCGTTCTGCATCGGGTGTTAACAAATGGTCTCGTGCTCGTCGAGCCGACCTATTACCTCCTGACGGTATTTGCTCTGGGGTAAATATCCTGCACAGTGGGTCTTTTACCTGCGGCTCAGGGCCCTGATAAGGTGGGTCATGGAGCTCTGACACGTGTTCGAGGCCAGAATTCCGCCCTTCCTCTTTTCCTGATCCCACTTGCTGTTGCTGCGTTTGGAGGAGGCTAAGTTCCCGGTGGGACTGTTGTCCCCCCATGTCTGCTGCCGGACTTCTTTGAGGCTGTTGCTCGACATCTGGTTGGCATAGCTTGTTACTGTCTGGCTCTCGTACACAGCATGCCTCAGTCAACCGGCTATCTTCCTTCGATTTACACTGCTCTAGATGCCGGAAAGACACCTGCGCGTCATCCACGCACACATCTCTTTGATTCGCGACGCTCACAGAGCGCCGCTCACCTGACCAAGCGTCCTCTTGAGCAGTGTGCCACGTGGTTACCCCTCCCCCGCCCTGACGTAACCCCTCTTCGTGACCGTACCGAGGCTCTGCTGAACTGCATGTCATATTCGCCGTCACAGGCCTCGTTGAAACCAGCTCCGCGTCAGGTTGAGCCTGTTGGTGGCGCCGGGTAGCTTGCACGAATCCTTCCGCCTGAGCCTCGGCACCTTGGTTTGCAACCGTTTCCCTTGCCTGAGCTCGCTGCCAGAAACCAATCAAACTATGGGAGGGGAACATCCCCGTCCTATTCCAAGCAGGCTGCTGAGGGCGTTTGCTTCTCGCTGAGGTGTGGGTAACCGAGTCCGTGTTGCTATTTAGAATGCTCCAGGCAAATGCAGGATCTATGCCCCCTGCTGGAATGGGAAAAGCTGAACCGGAGCCATTATGTGCAAGTCTCCCTTGCCCATTTCGGTGGAACTGAGGGGAACAGCTAACACCACCATGCCCGTACCTTGAACTCTTCCCTGAAACAGCCTTGCGGCTGCTCGCCATCTGTTGGCCAACTTGATTTCCTCCTCTTCCGATGGTCTGGAATGCTTGCGCATATGCCTCCATAGCCGCCATTCTTGTTCTATCTTCAGCACTGCAAATTGACAAAAAAGAGAGGGAAGAAAAAGAAAAGCCACGGACTAACATTGTTAGCCGAACCAAACATGACGAAACTGAGGCTTCCAGTATAAACAGCAGCTTCTCTGTGGAAAAAAAAACAAAGGCAAAGAAGGAGGGGGAACTGCCAGGTACTTACCCCACATGCATATGCTTGGAAATTCCTTGCCACCCCTTGCCTCTCCTTGGCCCCTCTTGGCCCCCCTCTACCTCACCCCTGGTCTCTCCTAGGCCCTCTACCTCACCCCCCTGGCCTCTCAGACTTCGAACTGAGAGGAGGTTCCCATCTTCAGGTGAATGCTTCACCCCCTTTAAACCACCAGTACCCCTGGGGGTCTTAGCCCCCCCTCTGGGGATGCTCTGACACAAATGCATATGGACTCGCGCAGCGCCCCGATTCAGCCACCGCATTAACGGCTTAAGAACGTGAAGGTACTGGTGGTTTAAGAGAGAACTACTTCTGTTTACCACTGACGTCGGAGAGTACCAGACTCTCACACACCAGCATAAACTTTTTCGAATTTGTTTTTGCTTTTCAGTTCGTAAATAGAGGTATTCCCTAACATGAATTTGTTTTTCCTTTTTAGTTCGTAAATGGAGGTATTCGCTAACATTCTAAAAAACCACACTATTTGAATGTTGAACTCATGAGTCATGTGTGTATGTACTATGTACTATGTACAATTCAGCCAAAGGCAGGCGGCTTCTCGGGTACAGTTCAGCCAAAGGCAGGCGATTTTCCGGGCAGCAGGTATGGATGGATCCCCCTGGTTGGTTCTACCTTTTTAAAATTTGGACCGTATGTCGATTTATGTGTGCCATCCTTGTGCAGGGGCCATGTTAATCTTCTCTGTATCGCTCCAATTTTAGCGGATGTCCCGAGGGACCCCTGGTTGGTTCTAGTCAGAGTCTGCTAGGGGAGAGAAATGGTCCATTCACACATCCATTCAAATTGGAACAACGATACAGAGAAGACGAGCACAGAACGTGCAAGAGGATGACACACAGAAATCAAGAAACGGTTAGAAATAGAAAGGTAACAAAGAAAATTGCTTCTTTGACACACAGGACATAACGATACCAAGCAATCAAATCGAGGAAGTGCAACTTTGCACTGTTTCTACTGAGAGAAAAGTGGTGAAAGAACTGTGTTGTTTGCATTCAGACTGCAGGCTGCAATTGCAAGTCTGTTAGGCTTCCTGGGGGCATGGGCCCCATTGGCGGATAAGATAATTTAGGCAAAGTAAAGTGGCACAAACCTGGTCCAAATGCAGAACAGAGCAGCTCGTGCCGCAATGCAGACCAGACAAAGTCCATGCCCATTCAAAACACAGATGCACAAATCTGATCCAAATGCAGACCAGAGCAGATCCTGGGCCAAACGCAGACCACACCCTGACCATCTCTGCTCCAATCGTAGAACAGTCAAAATGCCCATGTCCACTCGAAATGCAGATCAGACCGGGTCCATGCACGTGCAAGCTAGACAACGTCCATGTCCATTCCAAACGCAGCCCTTGTCATCATTGCACGTCGGTTTTGTTACCTTGCTTGAAACGGACATCTGCAGGTCCCTCAGTGGATGGCTTGGTGAGCACCCTCAGGATGTGCCAAACAGTCAGTGGTCAGCGGTTCGTCGTCCCATCTTCACTCTCAAGGGCCGTGCTTAGCAGGCCCCTTGGGAGTCAATGAGGGTAACGTTTTGGGCGCGAGTTTTGGGACCTTGTACTCGAGTTACGAGGGACTATCTGCACATGCTTTCGGTGGTTTCCTGTTTGGGTGAGAGGGGCAAGTCTTGCGGTGCCGTTTGGGCCTCGACTCATCTCTCTTGGAGGGCTTCCATGTCAGGTCGCTCGTCGCTGGGTGCAGCCGCAGGCAATCAAGAAAAGCCAATCCGTGCCATTCGTCTTTTCTCTTGGCAAAAGTTCATCCACCATGATGTTGAATTCACTTGCAAACAACCGACAAAAACATGAAGCCAAATTGGCAATCTGAACGGCCTGGAATTCCCATATATGGTCTCCCCAAACGGACAACAGGGAAAAAGAATGCAGTCTGAAATTGACTGCAGCAGAAGTTGGGAGGCGCTCAGGGTGGCGGGGGATCGCGCCACAGGGCAGCTAGCAGCAGTCCTTCCCAGAGCCTGGTGTTGGCGTGGCGAAACGGAGGCAGCAGTGTGTTGGGGTGGGGGGTGAAGGGGTGACACTGGCTTTGAGGGAGAGGGCTACGGGCTATTCTCTTAGCCATGGCCGGTTGCAGCTGACATGTGTCAGGAATCCCTCCTGTCTGAGATGGGCACCACGCATGGATAGGTGGTGGACAGAAGAAGGCCACGATCTGAGCAGCTGTTATGCACACTTATATCAGCATATGGACCTAGATCAGGGTGATACACAGCTGGTCATTGATATGGACGGAGCTAATGGCGCAGACGTGATTGTCGTTCTAGAAAAAACTTTCCGGAATTGGGCGTGCTGGTTTACTGTTGGAGTTGGTCGGGTGTTGTTTGTCGTCATCTTGGTGTGCTGAAGAAACTTTGTGCGTTTATTTTGGCCACGCTTTTCTACATTTGGCAGATGCCTTCATAAGCGCAGTGATTTTAAAGTGAAGCTCTTCTAAATTGGGCATATGCTTTCACAAATGCAGTCATTTAGAAAACATATAATATTACTAGCACAAAGTCTTCAAGCACAAATTCTATCATTAGGTGAGTATTTGTGCTAATGATATTATGTTTCTCTTATTGAGCAGACTGCTTCTTTTTCTTACTACAGAAGAGTAAGTAACAGCAGTAGCCATTAGTTTCACTCTCACTTATTCGTAGGGTTTCTGCTCCAAGGGAAGTACGGCGGAAATGCAATAAAATTGGCAAGTAAAATTGAAGTATGGTGGAAATGCAATAAGCATGAAGGATCTCAGAATGTATAGAAGTGTGGCGGAAATGCAAGAAAATAGAAACGAATATTTTATTATTTTGTCTATTGCATTCGTTAGAGAGACGCAGTATGATGAAAATTGTATGCTGCGTTTGGGAAGAACAATCGTGTGTCAACCTTTCTGCTGGCAAGACGTAGCGTTGGTTCGCGATTTGTGACATTTTGTTGCTTAGGGTTTTTTCTACTCTAGATTGGTTGGTGTTTCTGTCCGTTAGGGTTTGTACTCTAGATTGGTTGGTGATTCCGTCTGTTCATAAGCGTCCTAGATGTGAGCTTTGTATTGTTGTTTAGAGTTTGATACTTGTCGTTTCACAGCGTATCGGGGTGGGGACATTATGAGTGTATTGCTGGGGGGATGTAGGGTTGGAGAGGGTTTTTTTTATTGATTTCATGAACACGTTATTGGCGTATTTCTGGGGGGGGGTTCTGAAGAATGAGATCTGGTGGGCTTGTAGGGGGGATGATTACTTGCACTTGGTCATCCTGTTGAAGAGGGGGCTGTCCCTGGAGGGAGGGTTCGGCCAGCGTTCCTTAGCCTCCCGCCCCCTGGCGGCTTCCATATTTCAAACCTTGTTCTTGAACATTGGGCGTCAGGCCTGTTTCCCAATGGATGTTGCTCCCCACCAGCAGATTACACTTTAAAGTTTCAACTTAAAACAGGGAAAAAAAAGAAAAAAAAAGCATACAAAGGGAAAAAGTGCAAAAATGCACAAGAAAGCAGACCTTGAAAAAAGACAAAAAAAGGAAAAAGAGCTAGGCTATCGGTCAGGCGGTTCGGGCAGGATTGACCCAGCATGGCACTCGCCAGGATGGTCCGGCCAGGCGGCCCGCCGGGAAGGAAATTGGTCGATGGGCCAATCCTCCCAGAGGGCCTCCAGAGTGTCACGGGCAAGCCCTGGCGCACCAAAAAGAAATTTCAATGCCGGTAGGCCTCCGTTTCTTTTTGGGGAAAATTGGGCTGGTGATCAAAAGATCAACAGCCCAGATAGTCAGTGATGAGCCCGCCCAGGGGTACCTTGGCCACTCGAATTGGGAAGGCTCAGCGTTACCCTGGGCGTCTGCTTGTCATTGGGGAAGTCTACTGTCACTGTCTTCACCATCACCCTGTAGCCTTCCCACCGCCATCTTTACCATCGCCCTGTCGCCTGCCCCATTGCCAGAACCTGCCTGCTATGACAATGCCCAGCACTTCTTCTTCTTCTTCTTCTTCTTCTTCTTCTTCTTCTTCTTTGGTTGCTGTTCTTCAACTTCTTTTTCAATTTTCAATTTTTTCTTCTTCAGTACTTCAATTTTTCTTCATTAAAGTAGTTGTTGGACTCTTCTTCGATTTGTCTTTTTCTCTCTCTTTTTCCTTTTCTTCATCTCCTTTTGTGACTCTGTTCTTCCTCATTTCATTTTTGTTGTTGTACCTCCTCTATGATTCTTCTTCGCTTCTTCCTCCAGTTGAAATTTTGTTTCTTCTTCTTATAAGGCTCTTGTGTGTGCATGCGGAGACAGAGGGGCCGGTGCCACGGCACTAATCCACGCCCTCCCACACTCCCTGCTAACCTCCTCCGTACCTTTCCCCCTCCTGCCACGTCTTTCCCCCTGCTTCTGCGCCTCTCCACCCTCTCCTCCATCTCCTCCCTTTCCGATTGCCGTATCTTTCCCCATGTCCCTCCACTCACATGTCCCCCCACCTTCCACGCCTTCCCCCCTCCTTTTGGCCCTCACCTTCAGCTCGCCATCCCCTCATATCCCCCCTCACCTTCCATGCACCTTTCCCCCTCCTTTCGCCCCTCACCTTCCATGCGCTTTCCCCTACTTCCCCCC